CTCCACTCATGAGTCTTGTGAATATGACTCAGGGTCTATTTCTAGCAAGGATGTTCCATATTGGTGTTTTATAATTCATATTCATTAGAAGGATTTATACCTTAAGCTATATTCTGAATTCTATGTAGAGGGATTGTTCAAATTATACAGCACAGAATAACCACTTATCTGAGAAAACTGTGGGAAAATGATTTTGTGTCATCCATATTAAGACAAATACTGGAGAGCTGAGGTGGTATGTCAGAGAAAATATTCAGGTAGATGCTTACAGATAGTGGAAATTATGTGTACACCTGTGATCTGTCATCATTCCCTTCATCATCTGAATAAAACATTCATTTCTTTCCTTTTTTTAAAAAAACAGCTTTATTGTGGTACAATTTACATCTTGTAAAATTTGCCCATTTTAAGTATACAGTTTGCTTAGTTTTAGTTTATGTCATTATGCAACCATCACCATAAAAATATTCATTTTTAAGAAGATTTTTTGCCAAATTTTTCTTTTTTTTTTTTTTAATGGCTAAGTCTTGTACGTCTCCTCAGGAAAACATTGCACTATTTAGTGTTATATCATTCTATAGAGAACGTCAATATTTGGTCACAGCATTAAGAGCTCTTGGTTTCACAACTCCATGAGCCTTCTTTGAAATGACCAATTTTTCCAAATTTAGATTAGAATTTATATCTATTCCCCCCCATCTTTCACTATCCCCAACTTGATCACAATTTTTCCTTAGAATTTTCTCCTACTATTCTGGTGAATATTGACCTCCCTTTCTCTGTACTTTGTAGCAATACAGATTTTAGATATTAATTATCTAGAATTCTAAGAGGTAATAACTAGGTTCTCTTCTGTTCCCCAAACGCTTTATCATATTACTTAAAATTCTTTACCACAGTGCCTAAAACCCCACAGTTAGAAATATTTTCTTACTGAATATGGACTGTATGTTAGCTAGAAGTATTGTGTCAATGTTAAATTTTCTGAATTTTATAATTTAGTACTGTGATTATATAAGAGAATACCTGGTTCTCAGGAGATACTTGCTGATGTATTTATGGACAAGGATTATAATTCCTGCAACTTAATCTGAAGTGGTTCAGCAAAAATAACATTAATAATAATTGTACGCCTACACAATCATATAGATTGGATCTGGGGGGAGAAAGACCAAGAAAATGTGGCAAAATGTTCCTAATTGGTGAATCTACATAGAGAGTATATGGGAGTTCATTATACAAATGTGCAACATTTTTGTAAATTTGACTTATTATAAAACAAAAAGATAAAAGAAGAAAATATGTTCCTTTAGTTCAGTAGTTCTCTGCCCCAGCCACACATTAGAATTATCTGAAAGCTTTTAGAAATTCCAACTGCCTGGGCCCCACCTGCTAGAGATTTTTATTTAATTGGTTTTGGGTGGGGTCCAGCCATCTGAATTTTTTTAAAGCCCCCTGGATGAACCTAATGTGCAATCTAGAGTTAAGAACCCTTGCATCATAAAAGTAATATATTTTAAGGTTGTGCACCATGGCTCATACCTGAATTCCCAGCACTTTGGGAGGCTGAAGTGGGAGGACCACTTCAGCCCAGGAATTCAAGACCAGCCTGAGCAACATAGCGAGACCTCATCTCTACAAAAAATAGAAAAATCAGTGGGGCATGGTGGTGTGTGCCTGTAGTCCCATCTACTTGGGAGGCTAAGGCAGGAGGATTGCTAGATCCCAAGGATTTGAGGTTGCGGCGAGCAGTAATGACAGCACTGCACTCTACCCTGGGCCACAGAGCAAGACTTTGTCTCAAAAAAAAAAAAAAAAAAAA